TGTTCAAGACAGTACAACTCCCAACAAGCGTTTCCAATCTGAACACCGGCTTGACCAACGTGGACTGAGATACATTCACGCTAAAAAAAAAAAGAAATAATTAGGTAAATAAACTGCCAGATAAATAGGTCTGACTTTGAACAAAATCCGAGCCAATCCAATAGGCGGCGACGCTGACGTCAAGATATTTTAAATGTTTCAATCGTTCAAAGGAACTTTTATACAATTTTAAAAATCATATACTTTGGCCTTGGCCTATCTTTCGTAATACTTACCATCTTGGATTTTAGAAATAGAAGGGTTTCTAAGAAGAAAGAGAGGTAGTATAGAGTATATTRTATGCCAACAAAGAGTACGCTACGAGCTCTTTGTCAATTTCAAGGCAAATGTGAAACCTTTTGACTGCAAGATGTTATAATCGAGTTTTCCCGACCTTAAACGAATTTGATTGGCTTAAACTCGATTCGTCACCAGAAAAAAAATTGTTGCTATAGTAATCTCAATCGATAATGTATCGTCGATGTTTCGTTCTGTATAAAATTACTAGATAAACTAGTTAATCAGGTTTTTAAGTTGCATCACGTGTATGATGAGCTGTAACTTTAGCTGTTCATTGTYGGCGCCTCGTTGTAAAATACCAGCTTTTTATTTTACGTGGATTTTTATGTTTTTCAATTTTTKGAACAAAAAAGTTTTATTTGATTAAAATTATCACGTGTTGCGATTTTTTTGTATTTTGTTTCCTGCTGTTGGATTTCAAGACGGAAGTCAGTTTGCGCGCCAAAATTTCAATAATTCCAACTTCATATCCTGTTTTCATATCGGTATATAAATAGCTTTTCTTGCTATGAATCAAACGAAACACAATCGCTGCACCTTTAGAAAACTGCCTATCAAATTGCTTTCGACCACTGTTACCATATAAACCACAAATTAATTCCGTCATCGCTACGTTACAGTTCTTAACAGTATTGTTTTTTTTTCTGTGCCGCTTTTATATACTTTATTTTCTCTCACTCATAGTTCCCAGATTTGTTTTACGTTTTCTCAAATAAATATCCTTACTAGTTTCTCAAAATG